TGCACGTGACAGATGTGGAAGGTATAGTTATTTCTTTTAATCTGTGTGTTGTTCGAGATTGATAGCAGTCACTCAAGTCATAAATAATAAATTAGTAAGATTAAATTATACTTATTGGGACATAGTGATCAGTGTCAACACAAATCAGTTAAGCAGAAAAACTATTATCTGGACTGGGCAACATGAAGAACAGTTTTAGTAGGATTCATCTTCTCTTATTGTATTGACTGATGTTATTTGTTGTATGATGTTTTTGGTTAGATGATATTATGTTAGCTAAAGGGATTTCATATTAATTTTATGAAATGTTAACTTTAACTTTTAGTTTACTTTATGACTCAGTATTGAACTTCTTAACCCTTTCTAGTGGTTTTTAACCTCTGTGTCTTCTATGCTTTTCTGATAAATATGCTGTATGGAACATAAATAGGAGTTGAGAATCCTTTTGTCTTTTCAATGACTCTACTTTAAGTTGCCTTCTTTGAAGAATATTAATGTTAGCTTATCCCTACTTGACAATTAATTGCTATTCCCACACACTATGGGTTCACAGCTTTTTTTCTTTTTTATTGCCAGTGTGTATTTTGATGTTTTTATTTTTAATTGGTATGGAGAGAGGGAGTGAAGATAGTTTTAAGTGGATACACTTTTCCTTTAATGAAGGCAAGCCATAGGTGGGTGATAAAGAGATAAGAGGTAGGCTTTGGATTCACACAAGACTGGGTTTAATCCCTAGCTTTCTTACTTGCTAGGTGTGTGACCTTGGGAATCTTATTTACCACCACACATGTTGTCATATATGAAAAGTAGGAGAATACATCCTTCAAAGTTGGCTGTGCATAAGTAAGGAAGATATATATGGCATTTAATTCAGTGCCTAGCACATGCTTATTGGCATCATTAACTGAAACTCCTATGACTACTATTCTTACCATTATTATTAATATTACTGCTTTCAGCAAGCAGAGAGCTCTTATTTATCTTACCCCCTAGCTGATTTTCTATTACAGCATATCAGTCTAGGGAAGCTGTAAGGAAATCTTCACTTAAACCTTTGTCCACTTCAGATAAGTGACACTAGCATTGTTTCTTGCCCATTAAAGGATTTTAAATTAATGTCTTCTACTATGCAATATCCCACTGAGATAAGAGGTTTCCTTGTTGTCCCTTCCTTTAAACCTTGTTGGTATTTTACAAAGATGAACACTTAAGCACCCAAGACGCTTATGTGTTTTAGTGCATGTAAATGTTTAATTCTGCATGGACAGGCAAGATGTTAAATTGATAAAGTATATTAAATTAGCTTTTAAAATAAGTTTATTACAGTTCCTAAGGGAGAAATTATCTCTGTCATTTTAGAAATGCTCTTATACTTGCTGTACATTGTGGATCAGCAAGTATAGTCAGCCTTCTACTTGAGCAAAATATTGACATATCTTCCAAAGATTTATCTGGACAGACGGCCAGAGAGTATGCGGTTTCTAGTCATCATAATGTGTAAGTGTTTACATTAAAAGGCTAGTTAATGCTAAATTGAGGATTAAAGTAATTATAACAATTGCATCTTACATATGAGGTGACATGTCATAGTGTGGTTCAGGTAGTTTTAGAGTGGCAGTCAGTTAGTCCCCTTCATCAGCCAGAAATCAGACAAAAAGCAAGACAAGTTAGAGGTACCAATGGGTGCAGGATTCTTTATCTCAGGACTTTTAGACCTTGATACTTAGAATCCCAACATTGTTCATTTCATCCAAGTATAACACCTATGCATGGGATTAAAGAATAGTGTCATATCTTTGATTTTTCTGATTAGTTATTTGGGTCTTGAAATGTCCAGTTTAACAGAAAGCCTTGGACTGTCTTCTGGGTATTATCTCCTACATACTCCTTGAATTTTTCAATAACTGAAGGGGTTCACTAAATCCAAGGAAGACGGTCCCTTTTATCAAGTCAGAAGGAGGAGGGAAAAAAAGGACATTCCAGTCATTGTGATGTTTCACTTGCTCCTGTTGCTGCATTGTTGCCACTCAAATGGTCCTGCTGCCTGGTAATGGTTGATCTTTGACACAAAGATGCCCTTACTGATTCAGAGTCCTCAAGTCTTCATGGCAAGTCATACAGTGACTTTGAAGTTACAACGTTTGTATGTTCCCATACCTATGCTTATTTGCTCAGCCATTGTTCCCAAAGCACCAGCACCCTGCTCTGGCCGCTGAGCATCCTGCCTTTATTCGCAGACAAAGTGAGCAAATTGACCCTTCTCCCCATATTCAGAACCTAATGTGGAACCCACGTCTTAGCCAAGAGTTATCTGAGACCTTCTTGGTACGAGATCCTTTGAGGCCGTTGTTGGTCTTTTCTCTGGCAGATATTAATTGGGCTTGTTCTAAAGGGTCAGAGGGGTTCAAATAATATGGCAGAAAGAGATCAGTGTTTGTTTCTTCTTCTTTGCTACCAGATCTGTACTGTGAGGCACCTGTATATCCTGTAGAGAACCTTAGGCAGTAGAAAGTTCCATATGAATCTTCCCTGAGCAGTGTCTCCCAGTTGTGGTTTGCCCCTTGAGTGATCTGTTTTACACGATAATGAAAATCGTCCAAGCTACTTTCATCTGTAGCTCAAGATTTTAAAATATTTTCAAATTCTACCTCACAGGAAGCCATTGAAGAGAATTCTCAGAGTCTCAAGTAGGTTAGTTGGACTTAACAGAGCCAAGCCCTGTCCATGACTCATCACTAATCATGTGTAAAAGTAGGGCTTTGTGCTTGCTTC